AGAGAGAGAGAGAGAGAGAGAGAGAGAGAGAGAATGCAACCAGATTATCATAAATTTATATATTGCAGACCCGAAAAAGGGCCACACCATAGAAAACCAATCATCTCAAAAGAAAGCAATTATAATGAATGTATTGCCTATTTCATCAGAATTTATTACAAAAAAATTACATCAACAGCAACCAAACCACTTTTAACATTGTTGAAATAAGCTAATTGGTAGTTTATTACAAGAAGTAACATCACCAATGAAAAACAGAGGAACTAATTTACCCCATCCTTCCTAAGGAAAAAAATAATCTGACCCCCATCAACCAAGATTTCATTTCATGATCACAAGTACGCCCAAAAATGATTCTGAGCCAAGGAGAATGTTAAAAGACCAAGCAGCTGAGATATTTTATAACACAAGGCAAAATAATATCTGCAACATCATGCATCCCCTTAAAATCCTCTATCAAGCATTTCAATTTACCCCACAAACCTCCTACAGCTCAATGAGAACAAAAGCCCCAAATTTACAGCAAACAAAACCTAATTCTATAAATTCAAGTTGAAATACAGAGGAATTGGAGGAAGCAACCACATTCGTACTTGATATTGATATGAGAAAGGGAGCTAGCTGAGATAGAGGAGCGCCTGTGAAGTGAAGTTTTGAATCAGAGAGAGTTAGCAGAGCAAGAGAAGCTGACATTACTAAATCTGCATCTAGTTCAACACTAATATGAAATCATCACCTTGTCTCCAAATTAATGGTCCAAATACAAATTAAAAAGATCAAAACCTGCACAGACCATAGCCCAAAATTAAAACCTAAAACTTACAATATAAATTAGAAAACTCAAACCTTGAATAATTAAAATTATCTTTTGGCATAGGGAGAGTGATGCCCATAAGAATGCCCATCACTAAACTTTCTGGCTAAGATGGTTTCAATTTAACAAAATTGAAACCCCAAACTTTCTATTTCAAAGGATTCCCATCACGCACAGATTTGTGCCCACCCATGTTTGGTGCTCATATCTAAGAGAGAGAGAGAGAGAGAGAGAGAGAGAGAGAGAGAGAGAGAGAGAGAGAGAGAGAGAGAGAGAGAGAGAGAGAGAGAGAGAGAGAGAGAGAGAGAGAGAGAGAGAGAGAGAGAGAGAGAGAGAGAGAGAGAGAGAGAGAGAGAGAGAGAGAGAGAGAGAGAGAGAGAGAGAGAGAGAGAGAGAGAGAGAGAGAGAGAGAGAGAGAGAGAGAGAGAGAGAGAGAGAGAGAGAGAGAGAGAGAGAGAGAGAGAGAGAGAGAGAGAGAGAGAGAGAGAGAGAGAGAGAGAGAGAGAGAGAGAGAGAGAGAGAGAGAGAGAGAGAGAGAGAGAGAGAGAGAGAGAGAGAGAGAGAGAGAGAGAGAGAGAGAGAGAGAGAGAGAGAGAGAGAGAGAGAGAGAGAGAGAGAGAGAGAGAGAGAGAGAGAGAGAGAGAGAGAGAGAGAGAGAGAGAGAGAGAGAGAGAGAGAGAGAGAGAGAGAGAGAGAGAGAGAGAGAGAGAGAGAGAGAGAGAGAGCACGCCAGAGCTATAGAGAAAGAGAATCGAGTGAGACGGAGAGTGAAGGCTGAAACGATTGAGAGAGAGAGAGAGAGAGATAGACGGCAGGGATTGAGCAAAATGGGGGTTTAGATTGGGGCTGAGATTTTTGGTATGGGTTTGGTTTAGAAACGAAGCCTGGGAAGGAAATTGAGAGACCATGAGATATAGAGATGAGAGAGACAATTATGGAGAAGAAAGAGAGAGATACCTGAGAGGAGAGGAGTCGCTGTCTCGTCGTCACAGGAGGAGGAGAGGAAAGAGAGAGAAGAGAAACCTTACCCTAACTCGACTTGAAAAGGAGAGTTTCTGCTTTTTTTATTCTTTTTACCTACAACAACCGATTTATCCGGTAATTAACTCAACGGTGTGGATAACTCCACATCACCAACTATTCATCCAATGGCTTATAACAGTGGGCGCATCCATGCGCCACGCCCACCGTAGAATTTTCCGCAAATATAGACCACATTGAAAGTCTTACCAAATTAAAGAGCATCACTCAAATCATGTGGTTGATTCCCCAAAACTATAGGATAAATTATCGATAATATAAAAAACTATAGTATAAATTTGTTCAAAAACCACGTGGAATGACATGGAATCAAAAGTACTGAAAAAACAAAGATGTAGTGGGTGGTGTCGCATGCTTTCAAAGCTACCCATCAACGTCAGCTTGTGGGAAACCACGATGATCTATCCGTAACGAAAACTCTCCTCGAGCAGCAGGATCGTCTTTGCTCCTCCAAGACGAGACGTACCTCTCTAAACCAGTAACTAAGTCCCAACCAAGCTTCATTTCTGGTAGGAATGTGTCACAAAGATAATCAAAACTCTGCCACAAAAAGTTAACAGGGTTGGTTTCATTTCCATCTTTCACAACAAGATTTCCTGAATCCAGGAGTTGTGATACTGGATTCCCTGCAGTTCTTGATGTATTGGATGACCATACAATGCTGTTTGAGCTATTGAGAAGGACTAGAACTCCTTGCTCAGTGACCTTCAAAACTCCTGAAGTATCGCCAAGTGGTGTTTCTCTGTTGGCTACCCATACAACTGCCTCAGTATCAACAGTGTACCATATTCCCAAGTATCGACCATTTGATTTACCAGGGCTAAAGAATCCCAGTTCAAAGCTTCCACCTGCTGAAACTAGACTTTCACCGTCTCTAATATATCGATTTGGAGTAATTGTGTCTGGTGTTGTTGGAGTGGAGATTCTTAAGAAGGGAAATAAGAAAGAGCACACAAAAATGCTTCTCAAGGCTTGCATTGTATACTCGTATCGGAAAAAAATTAGCACAGGACTTATCCAGAGAAGATGGAAGAACCAAAATCTAGAAGTAAAATATGCTCTGATACTGATAAAAACTATATGCGTATAATTGTGACACTTTTCTTAATTGACCCAAATCCTTGGTTTCGAAAGTTGGTCACTGTGCAAGAAACTCATGGATATGGACCATGAGGACATACCATATCTAAGGCCTTTTCACATGTCGAATGAAAAGACCTGGAAACTCACTCATGACAAATACATGTCTTCCAACTTATGTTTCAGAAGTCGCATTTTTCAGTTAACATTTTGTATTTGACCTTTCCAACCTCAAAAAGAATCGAAGACAGCCACCATGCGGTGCATGTGGAAATATAACATTGGTTTTCCTGATCCTGTTTCACATTTCTGTCACAATTTTTTTCTTGCTCTGGTATAATTAGGGCAGAAATTAACATTTTTTGTCAACCAATTATGATGAAGATGTAGGTTTATGCCACACTAAAAATATTATATAAAAAAAGACCACGCAGAAATAAAATTCATAAAAAGTCATCGTCCGCATATTTACCTGTCCTAGTGCGAAGAAACCAAACTTTCCAACTTCAAGTTTGTCCCTAGAAATTAGAAGAAGATGCAAAAAGCCGTTGAAACGTTAAGATCAAATGCTTTCTAAGCTACCCGCCATCGTCCCATCTCACCTGAGCCTTCGATTCTTCAAAGTCCACTGTAATTCCGCAGATCTACTTTCCACACTCCAAGCTCTCATGCCAAACTCATATAATTTCATATCAATATCAGCAAGTTATCTTTAACTCTTCGTCAAGCTGCTAGAAACATCAGCAAGTCATCTTCAACTCTTCGTCAAGCTGCCGGAAACATCAGCACCAAACACGCAGCCGCTGGAAGAAGAACATAGTGCTCCCCTAAGACTTGCTTCTCCCTCGGGATGCTTTGAGCCTAGTTCTCGCTAACTAATAAAAAGGGGCAACGAAAGCTTAATTCACCACTCTATAGCGGTCCAAGAATCAAAAAGCCCAGACGAGCCTTCCGACGGAAAAAGACCCCAACAGTGTTCGGTTCATTTTTACACATGATTTATCATGTTATTCACCTAATATTTTGAGTTAGTTGTTGAATTTTATAGCTTTTTACTTCCTTTTTGTGTTTTCATAGGTTTTACCTTTGTTAGAATGAAAATGAGCTAAAAGTGCATTATTGGTTATAAATTCTGATTTTGTTCATTTTCGTAGGTCAACTTCTTGGCCTTGGATCAGCATGCTCTGGTGCTCGGATGAGGTGAAGATCTTCATGAAACTTGTTCCAATGGATGTTAACTACAAAATATCCAAATTTGAGTTCCATTGGACAAGTATAGCCTATCCAACTGATCCTACATGTTACAGCAGCTCTAGAGATTTGTCTTGGGCCAGTTTTTACCTCCATAGTGTCATCTTGATTCTTCTTGTTACCATATCATTTGGCAACAAGAAATTACTTTGGTTGAGAGATATTTTCTGAAACAAAGAGCATCTTCGAGAAGACAAGAACAAAAGAACCCCATCATGGCAAGTAGACAAAGCAAAAGGCTTTAACAAAAGTAATTGTTTTATATTAAAAAGTATGAGCTGGAAATGATGGGCAAAGCAGAATGAATATGCAATCTGCAATTCATTCATTCATTCTACAACTTTGAAGAGATTTTTGAGAGCTTGGAGCTAGAGAGCTCAAGGAGGAAGAAAGGGCAACCAAGCAAAGAGTGGAAGATATTTTCCACCATTGAAGACCTTGAGCTTTCATCACTTTCACAAAATCTGTAAACTCTTTCTAGTTTTGTTTTGAGTTTGTATTTGAAATAAGTATGAGCAACTAAACTCCATAGCTAGGGCTTAGGTTGAAGCCCTAAACATGAATACCTTGTTGTTTTGATGCTTAAGTGTATGAATTTCTAGATATTATTGATGAATTCCCATTCACTAAAATAATCTATCCTTGATGTATGTTTTCCTTTGATTGATCACTTTTGAGAGCATGCTTTTTGAGGTTGTTGGGATTATGTGTATCTTCATGTTTTCCTAAGCAATAAATGGATGAAGTAAGAATCATCCATGTGAATTGGTTTCTTGAATATCTAATGTAAACATCATGCTATTAGGGTTCTTGTGATGTTCATATTCTCTTTGAACTTAATGGGTTTTTCTTGTAATTGAATCGAAGTA